TTGGGAGTGACGAACGGCAGCGCGTAGACCGTCCAGACGTAGCAATTCAGCAGCGTGGACACGTAGGGGAAGGACGGGAAGTCCTCTGTGCTTCGCCGGCTGATAACTCGCTGGAAAGTTTTACTGCGAGGGCGCGTGGCGGAACGGAAGGGGACGAATAACAAGGGAGAATTTGCGACGGTTAGAAGCAGAGGTGGAATTTGATCACGTGGCGCACCTGTTGAAAAGGAAATCTGAAGTATGGTGACAAAATGCGAAAAAACTTTCGTCCCACTTCGCGCCAGCGGGAAGCGACAGAGCCTGATGACCGCTAGTCGAGCATCTTGCTACGAGGAGAAACGGCTGTGATGGGTTCACAGGTCCACCGGAGCAGGTAGGGAGAGGCGGATCGATGGCAATGCTATCCTTACATGGGTGATATGAACAGGGCTATGGCGGAGAGGGTTCCGACAAGTCCTAGCGCCGCTTCCCATTGCGGGTCCACGGTCCACGCCATCGCTGACGCAGCGCCGCGCGAGCGATGGTGAATGCCACTTGAAAATTACCTGGTGGGATAAATTCTTAGAAACAGTTGGAATAGGAAACCGAGCCTGAACAGCTAGAACAGTCATCGATCTCGAGGGGCTGGAATGTGGAGGGTGACTGGAAGGCAATTGCGAAAGAGCGACGTCTTTGCGATTCCTGCGAGCTACTTCGGGCACTACCAGGTTCTATCCGAATGGTAACAACAGAAACTCGACGACAAGTGAGTGAACCATATTTAGTTTGCTTTTCACTTCCAATATATTTATCGCTGGTGTTTCCGCGTCACGCTCATATCGCATACAGTTGTGACCAGATCTTGCGCACGTTGCGCCGTATAATCAGGGACAAACCCATCTGCCTTGAGATGAGAGGCTGATAAGAAAGAATTTGCTGACCGAAGCTTGACTGCCCCTTCATCTGACGAGATGTGAGATCTGACAAATGTTTCATCTGACGGCTCATGTGATCGCTCATCGCTGGCTTGACGTGTATCCTGAACTTGCTTTGCTGTCACCTGTGGGTTACTCGCCGCTGCTCGTTAATTCTAAGCGCGCCAATAAATGCGGGTCGAAGTACCCGCGACGCGTTGATCCATGTCAATTTCCACCTCAACCTCCAACCAACTACCCCAGCAGCAATTCGCGACCCATGTCAATAGCTGTCAAGCGACATACGACATGCGAAAGCTGGCGACTCTTGACAAACCTTATTCTCGGCCAAAAACGTCCCTTGCGAAAAGTCAAAGGTTTGCTGGTAGCACTCGCAACAACGGTGCAGTTTCGCAGGGTTTGGTTCGACGCATCGCGCCAGCCACATGCCCCGTCTGGAAGGGATGTTTATTTCCATCCTTGCAGCTCAACCTGTCGTCCCAACCCAAAGCACTACTCGCACGCACGCTTCTCGGACAGCCCAACAGCGTTTGGCAGCAAATTCATGTTCCCATCTTCTTATCCACCCCACCTGACTGCTTACAGCAGCACCGCGTCTTGGTACCTCCGACTGAGCCAATATTTTCCAGCCGCATAGTTATCCATCACTGTTGTGCCCCTTCCGACACGCATCTCGCTCATTCATCTATAGAAAAGCTAATGCCGCGCAGGCAAATGGTCGAACTAACTCGTAGTGCAACACGCGCATTCATACTCGAAAACACGTTCTCACAAACTCCAAGAGATTTTCGAGCGCAAATTACTTAGTACGCTTTCTTATGATGCCTCCAAGTTTTTCCGCCAGTTTGGGGCGCGGAATGATTGCTCTGGCGGGCCTAATGGCGCCTCCGTTATCAACGCTGAAGGAGGAGGGTCCGAATTCGGCGAGTCGTCGCGACGGCACCCACCGCCACAAAACAACACGCGGAGAGAACGGATCGGGCGGGGAAGGGATAGAGCAGAGGTGTGCGAGAATTGAGACGTCTCACAAGTCGAGGGAGGAGAAACCCCATGACGGTGGCTCTTTAGTGGCATCATGCGGAGAGGACGAATTCGGGAAACGGATGGAAGAGAAGTGTGCGAAATCCTCCCCATTTTGCCGCGTCTCCCCGTCATGCGTTAGAGCTGCCGCCGCCGCCGCCGCTACCGTTGTCGACTCTTTCACACTCCCAGAAACACTCGAGACGAGCGGGCTCCATGAATTGGCGGGACCGCGAAGCGATGAAACCTCCTACATACCAGGAATTCCGTCCTATTCTGAGGGAGAAACGCTTTACAAAGACGAGGTGATGTCCGACTCAGCGGCAACGCTTGATTCATTAACAGCCGCCGCGTTACCGTCTGAAATCGGAGCCAAATTCGACCTTAGCGCGGATTCTGAGGAGGACTCGGCCAGCGATCATGTGGAGCAGCCTGCGCGTCTCACGCGTGACGCCGCGTCATGCTATAACGCGAATTCGGATGAGGATGTTGACGTTGACGTTGACGCTAACGAGCCTGACCCAGCGCCCATTCCACCGCCGCGGAATTTGAGTCTGACTGAGACAATCGCGTCTGCCGATCATGGCGAGGCTGAGTCAGGATCCGCCACCGTGGCAGAGGATACGTCAGCACTCACGACGAACTCATTTCCGACGGTTACCACTTTCAGCCGCCACCAACGGCGCGAATTCCGCATGCGCATGGCACTGTCGCGGATCCAGCGGCGCTTGCATGCTTGCTGCGGGAAGATGCGCGGCGGAGCGTGGAACAACTCGAACAGAGCGACGCAGGGAGGTTGCGCGAATAAGGGGAGACGATACAGCGCCTTGAAGCAGCATCACGGGCCGTGCAAGGCAGTATCGAGGGTGCATTTGGTTCTGAAGAAGCAGCAAGGCGCCTTGCCGCGAGCCATGGCCCGGTTTGCTCAAAGGGGCTGGAGAGCCGAAACTCGGGGACTGCAAGCGCACCAGGGATGCTCAAGTGGTTCTTCAGGTGAACCTTCAGGTGAATTCTGGGAGAGGGGATCTGCAGAGGAGAGAAACAAGGCCGCTTTTGCGGTGAAAGCCGGATCGGACGAGGGTGGGGAAACGGGGATGAGGGAGGAGGGATGGGTGATGGGTCAGAGTGTTGCTCTTCGGTCCATACTAGGCCATGGGTCGTTGGTTCGGGAGGTGGATCGGTGCAAGATGTGCCGAGTCTGGGTTGAGCGAATTAGCCTCGGTGACTGTGCTGCCGAGTCTACGTACGGTGCTGACGTGTGCGCGGCCTTGGACCATGGACATGACGTCACCGCTGATATCAGCCGTCCGGCGTCAGAGCATGGGCGGACGGGGATTCACACTGCTACTGAAACTGCTACTGCCACTGCTAGAAGCGATTCTCATGGGACATCTACGGGAGAGGGTTTGAGTAGCAACATCAGCGTCGCCAGCACGAACGCCAGCACTATCAGCAGCGCACGCAGCACAAGCACTTACAGCACGAGCACTTATGTAAGCGGCAGCACTGCTGGGGATGCGATTGGGAGGAGCCTGGCTCTGGGATGCAGCCTGGCGTTCGGTAGCACTCTGGCGATCGCCACGAGCCTGTCTTTCGGAGGGAGTCTTGCCATTGCCAGCAGCATTGCGTTTGGAAGCAGCCTTGCTGTTGTGAGCAGCTGTGCTGTTGATGATAGCACCGGCAGGAGGAGGCGACGGGACGGGGGGAAGAAGGCACGAACAGCAGAGGATAAAGTGGGAGCAGAGGCGGTGGGTGGGGAAAACGGGAAGGCGGGGGAGGGGAAGAAAGGGGTGGGCACGGGGGACTATGAAGAGGAGGGACGAGGGGAGGAAGGGAGAAGAGATGATACTGTAGCATCCGTGGTTGCTGCTCATGTGGAATGTTCGAAAGAGATCGACAGGAGCAATGACTCCTCCAATGCTACTAGAAGCAGTCTCGTTTCAAGGAGGGGAAGAAGGCAGCCAGGCATGAGGAGAAGCATGAGGAGAAGCTCCTCCTTCTCAGCTCCTCCCTCAGACGCCTGGTTTTCCTCTCCTCTTTTCTACTATGGAGCACAGTCAGAGGGAAGCTTCCCAATCCGCTCTGCAGATGCTGCCTTCCCCAGATATACCTGGATGAAGCCTCCTCGCCCTGACAGCCAGGCACAGGCCGAAGGAGCGACAAGGGAAGAGTCAGGCGAGAGAGACAGAGAGGATGTGTCAGAGGAGAGGAACGAGAGGGATGTCAAGGAGAGGGATGAGGTGATTGCGAACGAAGAGGCAAATGAGAGGGTGAGGGTGGGTAACGCATGCTCCCCACCTTATGACATCCAAGGGGTGACACTAGTGCATTCCCCAGAGCCATCCATCTCATCCCCCTTCTCCTCCGACTGCCACTGGACGTCGACCAATAGCCTGCTGCCACGTGGCTCGCCCTGGAGCCCAGATTTCAAGATAGCAGATCCAATCATCGAGAAGAGGTGCACTGGCACTGGTAACCTTAGAAGAGTGAAGTCCTGCTTAGAATTTCATAAGACCAGCACCAGTCATTATGATTGCTTGGATAGCTGGCCCTCATGTCACTTGTAGTAATGCACACTGTCCTGTTATACTTGTTACAGCTATAAACATTATGTTATGATATGTACTCATTCGGTACACTACATCTAGGCTAGGTAGGAATGACTTGCGTACAACAAAATCAGCTGAGCAAAGAATGAGTCCAAGTGAAATGTAGAAAATACATCTGACCAAGGGAACTAGTAACTTTAGTTCAGCAACACTAAATCATAGAGAAGAGATTAGTGTGTAGTGCATATACGGTAGACACCCCTCATTAGTGTTCAGGGATGCATCTAAGCTTGACTGCTTACGGTACCTACAATGCACAATAGTTACCACCAATTGACCGCCCAATGAATGGCTGGCGCTGATACCTACCGTAGTAATCGCAAGCCGTTGATCTTCTCGCACGTATGGCCGAAACGCCATGGCGATTGGGCAGCTGATCTCCATCGTCCATCTCCAAAAGCCCATCTCCACCACCCATCTCAATCCCCACCCCGCCACCTATCTCCACCACTCATCCTCACCGTTCATCTTCTCGCACGTACGGCTCAAAGAGTGTCACATACGGCTCGGGGTCGTGGCGCATGAGCTTGGCGGCGCGGTGAAACTCATCCCTGAGCACGCGGATGGAGGCGCGGTCAACCACACGGCCGAGGTCGTGAGCGAGGTCAAAGGGGTCCTCTATGCAGATCAGGTGGCGCTCGTTGCCCACGCGCCTCGTCCACTCCTTCTCCTCCTTGCTGTCCGAGTGTAGCGAGGGGGGGAGGGAGAGTGGAGGATAGAGATGGAGGGGTGCACGCACGCACGCATGCACGGGCGAGTGGGGGAAAGGAGGGGAGGGAGAGCAGGAGCGAGGCAGTGAGATGGGAGCATAACAGATGCAGGTGGGAGCAGCACAGGGTTGAAGCAGCACAGGGTTGGAGCAGCACAGGGTTGGAGCAGCACAGGGTTGGAGCAGCACAGGGTTGGAGCAGCACAGGGTTGGAGCAGCACAGGGTTGGAGCAGCACAGGGTTGGAGCAGCACAGGGTTGGAGCAGCACAGGGTTGGAGCAGCACAGGGTTGGAGCAGCACAGGGTTGGAGCTGGCACTAACAGCATGCAGCTCACCTGAGGAAGCCGCCAGTGCGGATGCTGATGACACAGCGGTTGTAGTCGTGGCGGAAGGCCCAGTACTCAAAAGTAGCTTCAATACACACATGGAGCAGCGCAGACGGAAGCGGCATGTGGGCGGAGGTCACCTGAGGAAGCCGCCGGTGCGGATGCTGATGACACAGCGGTTGTAGTCGTGGCGGAAGGCCCAGTACTCAAACAGCCCTGCCAGCAGCTCGCCCACCGTCTCCCCGTTCGCCGCCCCAAAGCCGCGCAGCGTGTCCAGGTTGTCGTAGTAGGAACAAACGACGCCGCCCACCTGCACGCGGCACGTGTGCGGCTGCATCTCCTGGTGATTGTACGGGGGGAGGGGGAGGGGGAGGGGGAGGAAGGGGAGGGGGGGTATGAGAGGCCGGAGTTTCGAGATGCCTCAAAATTGCACGCGGCAGTAGTATGGGGGGTATGTACGCGGCTGAATCCCCGGGTGGTTGCAGGGGGGGGGGCGGTGGAGGGGAAAGGGGGGTGGGGGGCGGGGGGGGGGGGGGGGTTAGGGTGGGAGGCAGGAGAGAGAGTGATGAAGGTCAACAGGGTCAACAGGATCAACAGCAGCTGAGAGACTTGCCTCGCACAGAAAAGCAGAACGACATCGCAACATCATCAGCAGTCGTACACTAGTAAGCAATGCGCACCTGCAGGCATGGCAGAATGGGTGGCTGGCGCTGCTGGAGGTAGTGGATGCACATGATGACGTAGCTGCACCAGGGGAGGGGGGCATGAGGGATGGATGAAAGGCGAGAGGGGGGTGTGGTAAGGGGATTCGTGAAATCAGTTGTGAGTCATCATATGAGTTGGAGGTAGTGAATGCAGGCATGGCAGAATGGGTGGCTGGCGCTGCTGGAGGTAGTGAATGCACATTATGACATAGCTGCAAGGGGGAGGGGGTGTATGGAAGATGGATGGAAGACGAGAACGGGATCTGGGAAGGGGATTCGTGAAATCACTTTTCGTTGGGAGGGCGCATGGGAGGGAAGGGCATGCGACAAGGCGATAATGCAAACCTTTCGAGCATAGGAGGAGAGGGTGTCACAGAATGTCTCGTTAATCTGCCTCCTTATCGCCCAGTGCTTCACCAGGAACGCCAGCTGCCTCACACGCTCGTCCAGCGGCCCCTAGTCCGCTCACACCCCCAACCCTCCTGAACCCCCCCTACCCGCTTCCCCCTACTCGCCCCCTCCACACCTGCTCTCCTTCCCCTCCCGCACTCACGCGTAGGAAGAAAGCGTGCCGCGGAAAGTTTCGTTAATCTGCCTCCTTTTCGCCCAGTGCTTCACGAGGAAAGCCAGCTGGCGCACGCGCTCGTCCAGGCGCCCATAGTCCGCCAGCAGGCGGCTGTTGGCGACGGCTGCCAGGTTGTTGACACACATGTCACACGCCACCCCCGATGCTGGATCCATGAACTTGACGATCGGCACGCGGGCGTGGGTCAGCGCCTGTGTTGGGAAGATAGGAAGATTGGAAGATTGGAGGAATGGGGGATGGGCGATGGGGAATGGTTGCACGGACAGGGGAAGCAGCATGCTGGTGTGACCTGCACGCTCCCTCACTGCCTTCCCCTCCTCACCTGCACGTTCAGCATGCCCTCGGCTCTCAACGCGGTCGCCATATTCGTGATCACCTCCACGCGCGACACATCTGGGCCGTCCAGCGCGAGGCACACGTCCACGTCGCAGTTGCGCACGCCAAACGAGTTGGCGCACGACCCGTACAGGAACAGCTGCGCGGAGGGGTACGTGGCACCCGCCACGCGCGTGAGCGTGCGCATGAGCTGCTCCTTGCGCTCCGCCTCCTCTGCTGTGGGCTCCAGCGAGCGGAAGAGGGAGAGCAGGTGGGAGTTGAGGCGGGAAAGGTCCACGCGGAGGGATGGCGGGCGGTGGGCGTGCGGGCGGAACTGACCCGCCTGCTGCTGCTGATGTTGCTGCTGCTGTTGCTGTTGCTGGGCTCTTACCTGGAGCTGCTGCTGCTCCTGCTGCTGCTGCTGCTGCTGCTGCACGCCCCCCTGTTGCTGCGGCTGCTGCTGCTGCTGCTGCTGCTGCTGCTGCTCGGGATGCCTGAACCGCTGGCCGGGGCTGGAGCCTGGGGGATGGCGGGGGGCTGCAGTGAAGGCAGCGTGGTGCCGATGCGGATGGATGGGGATACCGTGCTGCTGCGGCTGCTGCCGTGGCTGCTGCTGCTGCTGCTGCTGCTGCTGCTGCTGCAGCAGCTGATTGCGAGACATGTGCTGTTGCCCGTGCTGCTGCTGCTGCTGCTGCTGCCCCGCACGCCCCTGCAGCAGTTGAAACTGACCCGAGTCACCAGTCGGGTCACCAGAGAGGTCGAACGCTTTCATATCTTCCGCCAAAGCCTCCAAAGAGTTCCTCATATCCTCCGCGCCCTTCCCCGCACTGGCGCCGCCGCCCGCCCCATCCCCCTCCACGCCTACTGCGCCTCTCCCCGCCCCGCCGCCACTGCCTTGCGCGCTCGCCCCCGCCTTGCCGGGCGCGGGAGCGGAGGGCGAGCCGAGAGGGGGGAACATGTCGTCGTTGAACAGCTTGCGCGCCGTTGCCTGCGCCCTTCCCTGCTGCACCTGCTGTTGTTGCTGCTGCTGCTGCTGCTGCTGAAACTGCTGCTGCTGGTGCTGCTGCTCCTGCTGCGGGTACTGCTGCTGCTGCTGCTGCTGCTGCTGCTGCTGCTGCTGGTGCAGGCCAGAGACTTTCAGTTGAGGAGCGGCGAAGGCGTTACCAGCAGCGGCGAGGAGGTCCAAATTTGTCTGCTGGCTCGACGGGCCTTCCAGCGCAGCCACAGCAGCAGGGTCGGTCAGCTGCTCCAGAGTAAGCTCGTCCGCGTTAAAAGCACCACCGTTAGTATTCGAAGTCACTGCACCCATTATCCCACCCTGCTGTTGCTGCTGCTGGGCAGACGGAAATTGCTGGTGCAGAGGTAACGGGAAGTTTCCTTGAGGCCCATCCGGCCCCAGGGCGCCAGCGCGACGCCACGAGTCCCCCACGTCTACTCCCTCGCCTCCTCTGCCTCCTGTAACCATGCCTCCGTTGCTCACGCCGCCACCCACACCCCACCCACCACCAGGAGCAGCGCCAACAGCAAAGTCTTCTTGTCGCCCTCCATCCTCCCTTCGCCCTGCGTCCTTCCCGTTCGCTCCGACAGCCGCCCACTGGGCCACACCAGCGTTCCTTCCCGCCCCCCCTCCGCCTCCGCCTCCGCCTCCCCCTCCGGGCGCAGCCATACCTCCGCGCGAAGGGTTGAACCGGCTGTCCCCACGCCCCTCTCCTCCCCCTATTGCTCTATCCGCTTCAGTCTCACTCACCCCGTACGGCCAGTTACTAAGAGAGGATCGGCTGGGAGAGCCTCTGCCTGCCTCCACGGCCTTTCTCCCAAATGGGGACCCTTCTAACGAGGCAACACGCTGGTCGAACGGCCCAGCAGGATCGGGAAACCCTTGCAGGCGCGGATCACCCCCGTTCATCCCGGGAGGCGGGTACGGACCGAGAGACGGACTCCCGCGGTTCACTCCTTCCCCATTCCCTCCGTATCCTCCTTCCCCTCGGAACCTTCCGGGCGCTCCTGCCGCGGCTTCGGTTAGTTTTTGCGAATTTTCAAAAGTCATCATTCCTTGCCCGAGTGAGAACGGCTGTCCGCCGCGCATCCCGCCAGGGTCAGTGGGCCTTCCCGGCGCGCGGAACGGAGAGCCATGGATAGGAGAATCGGACCAGAGCTCCTTGAGGTACGACGGCACCTCGTATTTTTCAGGAAGGTTCGGCGCCGCCATGGATTCAACATTTGGTATATTATGCGGAGCTCGGATTTCATCAAGAGTGAGCCCGAGACTGTTTGGAGGAGCTGGGAGATTCTGCGAGACTCGTGGACCGTAGATCTGGCCGAGATCGCCGTCCGATGGTGTCGCCGATGGGCCTGACGCGAAATGAGTGTTGAGAACGCCTCCGGGGAGTGACTGGAGCTGTGCATGTACAGAGTCGGCGTATAACGGAGCACCGGATTGCGACCTCTGAAAGCGCTGCTGCTGAAGCTGCTGCTGTTGCTGGTGCTGATGCTGCTGCTGACTGTGCTCCAGTGACGTGGCTACAGGTGGACCAAGCGTCTGTTGCAAATGACGTGGCAATGCCAGTGGACCTGAGTCAATAGGGAACGGTTGCTGAGTCACGAGCCCTGCGAGCGCCTGCTGTCTCCGCTGCTGCTGAAAATACTCCTCCACCTGCCACGAAAGCATGTGGTCCGTTGATATGCGAGAGTATCCATCGGACGGCGGTGGAGGAGCATCAGGAACCTGTTGACGCTGCAGCTGTGGGAAATCTTGCTGCAAGAATTGAGCCTGTTGTTGCTGCGGATGCTGCTGCTGCTGCTGCTGCTGCAACGATATCATCTGTTCCGCGTGCAAGGAACGGCCGATTCCGTTAACTCCTTGCGAGCCTGCAGGAGCTCGCGGAGCTGTCACTTCGCCAGGCATCCCGGCCAATCCGCTGCCTGGAGTTAGCCTAGATAATACAGAATCAATGTAATTCGCTGCGTGTGTCAAACCGCCGGATCCGCCAGAGAGCGAAAACGAATCATTGCCGAAATCTGGATTGCGAGGAGCCGGATCAGAACCATGCGCGACTCGCGCAGTACCTAATCCGTACTGCTTCGCATCGGACGACCCGAAATGCCACGCGTTACCCGCCTTCAAATCATGGTTAGCTACAAGATGGGAATTAATATCCTGCGCGGAAACACCGGAAGAATCTCCTAACTGCGGACGTGCGTAGGCTGAAGCTGGAGGGACGCCGAACCCCGGTGGCCAGGAGGCACCTGGACCCGATGCGTCCCTCTGCACACCGGTATCCTCGGAAGCCATAGCGATTAACAATGGCGACACATAGCGCGTATAAAGGTATCTACATCATATCAAACGAGCACAACATAGGCTGATCTAGAAGCTCTGCGCTCGTTGCTCCAGAATCGAGGCCCTAGGACCTCCCTGAAACTCCCCGAAGCTCCTTGAAAGATTACTAGTATGGGATCTAGATTGAGCTTCAGCTCGGCAAGTTCAAGAATCAAGAATCCTGGTAAGTGGTTGGTGGAGCGAGGCTGTTGAGGAATGGGAAACCCTAGATCTGCTCGGCAGATCGGGAGGGAATCAAGGAATGAGGGAACAGGTGATGCAATCAGGAAGTTTTTGGGTTGCGTAGCAACCCTATATATTTGGTTTGAACATTTTGGGGATATCATTTGAAGAGTGATATTTACGCACTTTTTGGAGCACCTGTTTGAATGTTTTGAAACTGTGTTCAAACTGATGCCTCAAATAGTGGATAAAAAACTCTCTTGAATGGGATCCCCCTATGTAAAACCAAATACCGGTACGCACGTACGTATCGTGTTGAAACCATGAACTTGCTCGACCGTCCCAACCTCGTCGATAAATACGGCGGATCGTACGGCCGAGAATAATATTCTGGCATCAACATGAACGAATGCAATTGTACATTGTGAAAGCTTGCTTTCTGCAACTTGTTAAGGCACCGTGCTTCATTTCATATGGGTATGAGTACATCAATCTCGTCCAATGATAATTACGATTACAGCAAGAATCTTAGAGACAATGACTACTTAGGTGGATGGGTGGGAAACTCAAACTTCGAAATTGAAAAGAAGAACGTGGGTGAGGCCGAATGGCCTCAACCCCCTCTTTTGGCGCCTTTGCTGCGTTGGCAATCGCTACACTTTCACAATACACAATTTTGAAAAGTGTTACACACTTTTAAAATTTTACATATTGTGAAAGCTTGCTTTCTGCAACTTGTAAAGGCATCGTGCTTCATTTCATATGGGCCTTCTAAGACAAGCGAGTGGTCGGTCGGCGATGCCGCTGGATAGACAATTGGTGCTGGTTCGGGGAGGGAGCCCGTGTAGGATCCTGAATCAGCTGGGAGGCAGCCGCAAGCTGGTCGTGTGCGATGGTGACGTAGAGGTCTTTTGCGTTGTCGCTGTGCCAACGGCCCAACCGCTTGAACATCCTATCTGAGACTCCGATGCCTGCCGCCATCGTTGCTGCTCCTTTGCGGAAGGAGTGCGTGCCAAGGTGGTTGGCGTTGAGGCCAACATTTTTGAATGCTTCCAAGCACCAATTGCGAACAGTTGGGTATGAAGACGCGTGGTCGTGCGGAGTTGCTTTGGAGTCACGTGTGAACACCCGTATCAGTGGTCCTTTGGTCGAGGCGTCATAGCCGGCAAACGAGATGAACTGTCTGGTGATATTTACTGGGCAATATGGTCCGGGTGTAGTCGCGATTGGGACCCATATTCCCTTGCCTTCTTGGTCCGTTTTGGAGTGGGGAATCAATAGCCACATCGCCGCCTCGTCGAACTGGATGTCTTGCCACTGAATTGCGACGAGGTCCGAGAAGCGGAGAAAGCCCGTGTACATGAGCAGTGGGATGAGGCCTTTCTGGAATACGGAGGGAATGTCGGATGCGATGAACTCATGTGTCATCTGGTGAACCTGGTGAAGAGACACGGGTTCTTTAGTCCTATTTGGGCGCGGGGAGCGGCGCTTGGCGAATTCTCGGACCTGGGAAGTGAAGGGGCCGTTCGTGGGACAAGTAAGGCCAGTCATCTTGTGTGCGAATGCGACTGCCGAACAGGTCAGCGTGATGGCGGACAGGGTGGCGTGGTTGTTGAGGGCGTATACCAGGTACAGCTCGAGTGTCAAGTCTGTGGCGGGTAGGTAGCTCAGTGATAGCTTGTTACAGAATGATCGGAATTTTCCCCAGTAGGGGTCGTAGGTGCGGATTGTTGAAGGAGCTCGTACTTGGCTGATTACCGAGAGGAGTTGCTTTTGAAGGTTGGATAATATATTTGCCATACATAGAATATATATGAGTTACATTGTAAAGTCAATGGACAATGCAATAATCGGGCTATTGGGAAATCCAGTGCCTGAGAATGTGGCAGTGTGTGTGCCTGGTTGGAGGCACTGACTCCCGCTTGCGAGGCGAAGGTGGCTAGTAATTCCTATGGCCCATGTTTGAGGGGCCGATTGCAGTAGGGGCCACCAGGCTGCCCCTGACCACTCAGGGATCACCAGGGTTAGCTTTGCCCGTGTGCGACGCGCGTGATGGAGAGTTGCAGGGACGAGGTGGGGGGGCGGAAATGCGAAGCCCCGTTCCCCGTGCCAATCCTTGGAGAATACGTTGATGGCCTCGGCTCGCGGGTGAGGGACTTTAGAGAAGAAACGAGGCAGCAATGCGTTCTGTGCATTTGCGAACAGGTCGACGGAGTGAGGCCCCCACCGACGGTCGAAGAGACGAAACCAAGGTTGTTTCAACGTGTAGTCATCGTGGTCTTGCAGCTTTGAGAGCTCGTCCGCGCAAGTGTTCTGATTTCTGGGAATCCATTCGATGGCTAGTCGCACCGCGTTGTCCGTGCATAGAGTGATGATCTCTTTGCAAGTCAGCGTGAGCTCATTATTGCGCGAGCCGCCTTTTCGTAGGATGAACATGACCCCTTGGTTGTCCACGCGAACCAACGTGTGGCCGTGTCGAAGACGGTCCATGAAGGTGCGTAGCGCTCAGAGCACGCCTTCCAACTCGCGTCGCGTACTTGAGGTTGGCCACAGGTTGTCGGGCATGCCAGCGCTTGCGTTGCTCGGTGTTCCGTGAAAACTAGAGAGGGTGGCACCCCAGCTGTGCGCGCTGGCATCCACCTGGATGATGGCGTCGTAGTGATGCGGATGATGGAATGGTGCACCGTTGAAACGGTCGAACTGTTCCACCCAGAAGTGCAGTTCGTGGATGGCCTCAGTTGACAACGACACCTTCGAGTGCCATGAGGGCGCGTTGTTGATAAGTGGCAATAGCTCGTGGCTGAAGGCTCGCGCGGTTGCGCCCAAAGCGAGGCTCATGGAAGCAAGCATTCCGGTCACTCGAGTGATTTGACGAACGTTCACGTGGTGACCAGCGCGTCCGGAATCGATGAGACATGTGATTGTCGCTCGTAACAGGGAGCGCCGTTCTTCTCCGACCGAGAATTTGCCGACTTGTGTGTTCAACTCGAGTCCGAGGAAGCGAAGTTCCTGTGTGGGGACCAGACGCGACTTTTTCTCGTTGATTACAATGCCGGCGTCCCTCAGGTCCCTGACGATCTGTGCGCATGCGGCTCCCGCTTGTTGTGCAGTCTCTGCCAGGATCAGTATATCATTCACATACGGGATAACCCGCCACCCGAGAGATCGCCATCGTCGGGCCAGCTGTTTGATGAGTTGCGTGAAGATGAAAGGGGCCGTGGCTAGACCGAATGGCAGGGATTGGAAGAAGTAGTAGTTGCCTTCGAACTGGAATCCTAAGTACTTCCAGCAGGTGGGATGGATGTCCACGTGATGATACCCTGACTTGAGATCAACCGATAGCATCCAATCGTTCGGTTGGATCAACTCCGCTACCCGGGCGAGGCCTTCGTACTTGAATTTAGGAATGCACAAGTGCTCGTTGACCTTCCGCAGGTCGAGGATGAGCCGATATTTTTCTCGTTGTTCGACCACGTTGAGTGGGCTAATGCATAGTAGTGTTGATCGGTCAGGAGCGTTTGCCGCTGCTCCTGTTCGCAGGAGGTCCTGAATGGCATCGCGTGTGAAATCCGAATGCGTCTGGGCGCCTGCGTGGTTTTTCCTTTCGAAAGGTGTCGGGGGCCCATCCTTCCATGGGAACCAATATCCGTGTGAGATAATAGACAGGATGAGGCTACTATCGCACCAGGAGCGCCACCAGTGTAGTG